AGGCATTTTTCTGGGCATACTCCTTTATTACAAAGGACCAGATCACCAGGTACATAAAAGATACCCCTGTTTTAACAGGTCCTGATTCATTGGAGGGCACCATAGAAACCCCTGTAACTCAGGCTCCTCCCTTTATAAAAACTTAACAGTTTTTATTATTTCTTTTCTTAGTATCAAAACCTCCCAATTCCAAGTGTTACCCACACTTGTACACCATTTTTCTTAGCTTTGCACCTGGTTTAGCTAGAAGAGTCAAGCTCTTGGCATCACCTAGGCTGACAAACATAGAAATAAATGAAAAATAAACTTTTCTATTGCACCTGATCATCTTCTCTGTCCTCCTCTTCCCCCTCCTCCTCTTCTTTGGATTCTTCCAATTCTTCTAACTCTCATGCCTTTTCTTCAAAAGGGTCAATTTTGTCAGATTTCTCCCTGCGCCTCCGACTCCGTAAAGAGATGTCGGAAGGATAGTGTTTCAACTCAAACCATTCAATGTAAGCATCACATGTCAAAACCCCTACAGGGGAACATGAGAGCTCACCCAATCAATCCTCTATCTTTACTAAAGTAGATGAAACAGATTGCAACGACAAAAGAGGCAATACCCAATCTGGGCAGTCCAAGGAGAACCAAAACCATCTCAGGTCCAGTGCCAACGCTGTAACAGATACAATACACTGTGTGTATCATTGAGAATTCTGCAAAGCTGCATGGCCAAAAACCAAATTTGTTGAATCTCCTTGCAAATAAAAGCAGATTGGTCAGATAGTTTTTTTATTGGGGCTCAGATACATAGTGATACATGGCAGATACATGGCAGATACCGTATCTGTTTCAGTGTTGGGTCCACCAAGGATACCCATGGGTTAAGGTCATGAGTACTTAAGAAGCCACTCTGGCCAGTCAAGCTATGATTCTCATTCCTCAGACTAACCAACAAAACCGCTCTTAAACTACCAAAAAACATTAGAACCATCTCCAGTCGCATCTCCACCCCAACTCTTGCTACTCGCATTAGCCATTGCAATGACAAGTAAGCATTGTGTCCTTCTGCATCCATCTACATGGAATGCCTGACTTACCTTAATTGATTGAACCATTCATAGACAACGATCAGGTTCTTTGTCACCCTAAACACTCACCGCAGCGCTCCCACTTGCTATTGCATCTTACCTAAGTAAGAAGCAACATAAAATTTATGCAAGCAATATTAGATCGGACGCTGATGATAAAACGTGTTCTTGCTTTCTAACGCTGATCAATCAAAAAGTATCAATAAAATAACAATAAACCACAAACAGAATCTTTCCTTGTCTTTTCCTTCTCTCTATCAATCCCTTCTTTCTCTATCAACACATCACAGTCTTGTCTTCTTCCAAAAACCAAAAATATATAAAAATAAAACCATGAGTCAGACGACTAGTCTTGCTCTTAGGTAAACTTTCTCTTTCTCTCTAAAAAGAATCAAACACATCTTTGTACATAGTCACATAAGCCTGATGAAATAAATCCTGCTCTTAGTTGCTTGAATTCTTGCAAATTTGCATTGAGCTTTGCTCTCTGCCTTTCTTTCTTTCTTTCTTTGTTTTCTATCTCCCTCTTTTGCATGTTTCCTTCCTTCCTTGTTTTGTTCACCAATTGTTCTGAATCATTGTCATCACAATTACAAAACAAAAAACCCACCAAAAAAAAGCATGTTCCCTCTTCCTTTCCAAATACCTTCTTTCTTCCTTCTACTCTTATTTTTTGTTTTTATTTCCATTCCAATCTCTTTGTGTATGACAAATCTCTTCCTGCTTTTTTATATGTTCAAATCCCACACATTTGATGATGAACTGTATCATTTGCAACACCACAGAATTCAGGTATTTTTGTCTGCAAAAGCTGTATGAATATGTGTATGTTTGCAGACCAATGATCAAACACTTGCATTCTTTTCTCTAATCAGCTCTATGCATTTAGTATATTTCTTATTTCTCTTCAAGTCCATTGATGTTGATGAAAAATCTCTGGTGAACAGGACACTTATGATACATTATCAGGGTGGGTGTAAGTTGGGGTACCTGTCTAGGTACCCGCCTACATATTTGTTCACCTCAAATGTCAACACCTGCATCCGCACCCAGCACCTGGTTCCAGGTACCTGCTTTGGAAAACCAGTACCTGCAAAAGGGTGCTTTTGGGTACCTGCTGACATCACTAGAATAAATCTGCACAAGATGCTGGCCAACTGGTAAACACATCCTTGGATTCTGTCTCCTTCCTTCCATTCAAAATAGGGTGGATTGACATCACGAGCCGCTGCAACACTTTCCGGCTGTGAGATCGGGAGTCGGCAGCTAGCTAGCTGTGAAGGTTATGTGTGGAGCTTTTGGAGCAAAGGTGTTCCATCGGAAATTGCCCATGTATTTCTGTGCTGCGATGAGTACGCAGCGGTTACACAGGAGGGTGTATGCGCTCGGTCGATATAAAGTTCTTTTCAGCTCGCATCTCCTCCCCCTTCCACCAACTCCCCTAAAAACCCAAACCTTGGCAACTCATGACCACGCTCGGACAATCACGATAGAGCTCTTCTGCATCGTCTTCGTTCAAACAGCAAGCCTTCCAAGGTTATATACAGACCAGTGTCAACTATGAAGCTTACATGGTAGACCTATTACGATTGTGAGTCACGTTGGTACGTTGATGGTCATATATTTACATCATTAAAACTGACCTGTTCTATGCTCCATAACTTATTTACAATTCTCTCCTCTTCAGTCACAAGTAATATAAATACATACAGTACTCGAAACCCTGCACAGCGATCAAAGCGCCGAGTAAGTAAAACAGTATTGGTCACACCACTAAAAGAAACCATACAAGACAATGATCAACTCAAATTCCGTCCATCCTAACTCAGGTGGGTCCAATCTATATGCAGCTTGACAATGGTTTTCAACTCTCTTACTGAATCTGATTTCGTCCCCTGAATTGTCATCAGGAAATCAAACTGCCGAAGAGGATTGTGAAACTCCACATCCTACCAACCAACCCACAAATGGTCATGAACTACACCAGGCTACATCATACCTATCGCTCCACGATGGAAGAAATCCTGATCCGATAGACATCGACCATCAAAACCCACCAAACCTGTTCAGCTCTCCGCAACCACATGTCTCGCAACAAGAAGCCGACGATGGCAATATCCCTCCTGAAAGATTGCCCACCTATGGTGAACTCAAAGATCAGGAAGGACATCGATTTGGAAGATGGCGAGGATGGATTGAAAAACGTGCCCGAGAGCGAGTTGAAGAACGAACGATTGATCGCCAGGAGGCAGAACTACATGGCCGTCCATTCGGTACCGGTTGGGACTTACCCCAATCAAACACATCCTTTATTCAACCACAAGCCACCCGTCTCGATCGAAACTCATCTATTATATCTGCCAGAGATGAACGTGCAGCCTTCAAATCAGCTTCCCGAAATCACAAAGATGCATTCTTGAGACATCAGAAGGGCAAATTCGATGGCTCGACATCTGGACATAAACCAAACCTGGAACCTGGGCCAGGAGCTGTGAACCTTACTCCATCTACCTCAATTCATCAGATCGGATCCCGTTTTCTACCTCAATTCCCCTCACAACCATTATGTGCAATTCCCTTACCACTCAGTAGGATCAGGAATTACACCTCTGCCAGCGACCCACCTGCCGAAAGATTCCTACTCGTTGGGACTATTGATGGTCTCTATGTTTGCGATCTGATGCCCTCTCTCTCGTCGACCGTCAAGAAGGATATGGTCTCACCAACCGATAGTAAAATTTATCAACTATGGCAAGGCTTAGGCGTACATCAACTAGAGATCGCAATCGAAGACACTACCCACTCTTCAAATACATCTCTACCTGGAATCGTTATTGCTCTCACATCTTCTTCACACGAATCCACCATCAGTCTTGGTATGGATGGGATCACCAAATCGATCAAGATGTGGCCACTACAGTCGATGATCAATCTTGTCAAGTTTCGTGCGTTTAGTGAAGTTGGTTGATCAAGGCTTTTTTCTTTATCCTTTCTCAGGGCATTTAGAACACAGCAAACCTTATAGATGCTGTTGACTAATCAACTTTCAATGCTTGTGTCTATCTCCTCATAAAAAAAACCCCCTCTGCAGAGCTCTGAATGTTTAGATCTAGTCGAGCGGGCATCGAGTACAAAAAGAAATTCAGCTTTGGTCGTCGGAAGTTCTGCGCTAGCTGGATTCAAGTCAATGTTTGAGAAGGGCAAACACAAAGCCGAGGGTTCGATCAGCAGCTTATCCGACAGTCTCTCGAATACCTTCCCTTCTCAGACTGCCAGTACATCTAGCCGACATCAACAGAGGGATTCTTATTCTCAAAAGCACACCACAAACAATCCCGTCACAAATCCGTTGCCTTCCTCTTCAAATGAGAAGTCATCAAATCAATCCCATCTCGAGTTACCTCTCCAATGGGCCAAGCAAACCATATCATTAGATTTACCTCGGATTCAGGCACATGGACCGATCTTATTCATCAAACTTTCAAACTCACCCGTTCCAGGATTCAATCCGATTAATGATCAACTCGATCAGATTAATGACTCCAAGTCTCTTCCAGTTGGACTAAGATCAAGATCACGTGCACGCACTGATGACGGAGATGATGAGTCCCATGGTCATATGCCCAATGACGGATGGTGGTATTTGATCATAGCTACTAAACAAATGATCTTTGTAATGGAGTCTCAGCCTAACCCTCAACGGACATGGCAGTATGTCTTCGTCTTCTTTTTATAATAATCTATCCAAGAGAGGAGCAAAAATTATTGCATCTGCTGATTCTATGTTCTATGATTTGATTGGTTAGTCTATGTGCTGAGATGTCGGCCCCGTTCACGGCAAAGACTGCGCATCTGGTCCTATCTGAATTTTCCAGGTCCAGCAATAATAGGACTGCTTCTCACTCACGTACTCCCACCCTGAGCCGAAGACCGCTCAATCCTCGGCTTGGATACGGTGAACTGGCGGTGCTACTGACGATGAAGGAGTATGCAGTCGTGATTTCATTGAGTGACTTGAGTGTGCGAGAACTAGACCTGCAAGGCACCGTCGCAACAAGTCAAACTACGAGTAACATTTCATCTTACACAAATACGCTAAGGCCAACTACCGGTAGTTTTAGTGGCTTGAGTCAGTTGGAACGAGTCCAGAATAACTTTAAGCCATTCGGACGTAATGTTTCTTCGATCGCAGGCTCAATCGAACCCGTCTTGATCAACAAACGTGGCAAAGATGGCTTTGGAATATCCCGAGATGATGGCTTTCAAGTCGAGAGTCGTCGAGCAAGTAGGTTGGTGAGTGATCGACGTTGGGCAGGATGTGAGGAACTATTGATTCCAGTTCCAAGCCAAGCCCGTAATTCTCAGGACACCACTGGAGCCGGTAGTCGTGAAGAGGTTTCAACAGAAGAAGACCATCACCTTCGAGCTATTTATTTGGTCACTCGCGGATATCTCACTTATGCGGTTATCTGTCCATTTGGATATGAATCCCGTTCACGATCATCTCGGGCGGAACAGTCAAGCTCATGCATTGATCAACATGCGGGTCTCGCGGGGGCGCTTCCATTACCTCTCTTATTGAAGCCAGTTCATACATTCACATGGAGAGCTATCCCAGTGAAAGTGCAGGCCCAGATTATTCCTATACCGAGTAAATGGGCAAAAGTGGAGAAGAAGAAAGACGCTGAGGGTGGAGCTGATGATCCTCAAGGATCCAACGATGAAGTATTCTGTTGTTTGACGGCTTTTACGGCTTCGAGTGTCGAGGTTCAAGAAGGCTTTATTTCGTTGAAAGTTCTGAGGATGATGTGGGAAGCCGGAAGATCCAAAGATCGACACACCGGGAATGTGTCCTTTTTCACGCCCGCTAGCAATGCTTATCGACGCCGATTCCGACAAGCCTCAGCCTCATCCTTTTCGTCAACTAGCACGACTAGTGATAGCACCAACAACCCCACCCAGAACGAAACCGCGCCCGCGGAGATTCTGCCACTCCCGCGACGAGGCCCCGGCTTACCCACAACTCCGCGCCCACCAAACGAGACTAGATCCAGATCCTCCTTTTCTTCCAACGATCAACCGTTCGAAGAAAGCGAAGAGGAATTAAATGACAATAGTTCCTACGATTACAGCGCCAAGATCGGATACTTGTGTAGTTCTGCGGCTTGGTTCTCACGATCCTCAGCTGCTTCGAATCCGAACCCGCAGAAAGATCTCGACCATCCGAGCCATCCTTCAGCTGTCCATCCGCTCGACCGTAATCCAAACAGCTTCGATTCTTCGACGTCTGAGTCTACTACAACTGGCCCCCCGGATCCTCATCATCCTCAGGAACATCCTCATCCCCAGGAACACCAACACTGTAACAATCCTCATGCTCCTCCTCATCCTTTGACATCTACTGCGACTGCTACTACTAGAGACTTCACTCAGGGTAGTTTCTTTTGGAAACAGGCCGTTGGTGAATGGAAAATTATGTATGTTTGTAATAGTATGGACTTATAAATATTTGGCTTTTTTTTCTCTCTCTCTCTTTTTTGGTTATTTTATATACTAGACACTTCTTTTTTTCTCTAGTCCCTCATTCTGTGATCTTGTGTTTTCTGTTGTAGTTACCTTGTTTTTTTTTTAATTATATAAAATCATTTTCCTTCATGGTTGTGGGTTTACTTTGAAGTTGAATTCCTTTTTTTCTATTTCTCAAGTTGGGGAGTAACACAAGCATCCATACAAATGAAAAGAACTTCTATAATCAGACCCAAGCAAACACACACTCACACAGTTGTCTGTGGGTTTTTTTTCCTTGTGTGGATGGTAATATGCAACACAACATGATGAAATATGAGGAGGAGGGGGGCATTAATGGATGAGGTGTTGGTGATCACCAGTCTTTGGTTCCAGGTTCTTGGGGGTAAGTCATGTGCTGGTAGATAATTGTGTGAAGGAATCACTAGAGATGAAAGCTGGATCCCAGTGAATAATAATAAGACATTCACCAAGCTCTTCTTCACAGTTGGGCCAGAATGATTGGAGGATACCAAAGTCAGACCTGTCCAGGAGATTGAGGATACAGTTGATATCGTCTTCAAGCATGCCAATGCTTGTAAATGGTTGGGCCAGATGGATGAATGGCTCTGGCAGGTTGTCATGGCCAGAGTTGGTAAACTCCCCACTGGAGATAAACTCAGAAATTTGATCAAACACAACAATGTATTCCCTGTGCAACTTCCCTCTGCAAGCCTTAACATCTGAATGTCTTCAATTCTCCATATAAGTTTGATCAGTCAAGCCAGAATCTTTGTCTTTTGATTCAAGGGTGTTGGCAGAATGAGGTTTTCTAAGGCCACGTTGGGCTTAGGAACAATCTCTAAGGCACCATTGAGCTGAGGCTTAGGAGAGGTTGATTTTTGGAGAGGTAAGTATAAAGCCTCAAACATTTCAGCAAGGAAGTTAAGAGCCAAAGGTAGTAGAGTAGCCTTGATTTGATTCAAGCAGTCTTTCCATATCTTCAGGTCTTGCTCTAACAGTACTTTGGCCTCCTGTTCAAAACTTCTTTTTGTATAATTCATCTTGTTTCCTTGATAAGTTGAGCAAGGCCTTGACAAGAGCTGCGCAATGAGGAAAAAAAAGGAAGAACAACAAAAAGGAACAAGGAAAGAAAGAAAAGAAGGAGTGCAAAAGTAGAAAGATTATAGTCAGTTTGTGTTTTGTGAGTCACAACAGAATCCAGTTCTAGAGGCAAAGAAGACTTTTTATAATGAAGTATCTATTCACCAGAGGAGATCTGGGTCTTGAGATGTCTAGGTTGAGGGGGATAAGTTGGTTGATTGGTGTCAAGGATTTTGAGTATGTTTGACAGTTGAGCAGAGCTATCAGATCCAATGAGTTGATTATAAAATATTTAAGGCTGGATGAGAAAAGTGATGGGGGCAGAGGTCAATAATCATTTGGAAAGGCCTGATGGCCTCAGTTTATAGGCATCATATGACAAACGGCTGAGCCGGAATGCAAGACTCTTCTGTTCTTGTTTTGATTGTGATGAATTATAAGAAAAACAGGAATGGTACATGATCCCCAGCTGATGAAAATGTAAGCAGACCGACAAGGGAATCATTGTATGCTGCATTGCTGCTGCCATTTCCATTTCCTACCACAGGAGTTACTATCTTGATGCACTGAGGATCACTCTTCAGGCTTCTCTCCTCAGCTTGTGGATAGATACAACCTGACTTAACTAAGCCTCCCAGGACTGGAGGTGCAGAGCACCCCAATGCAAAAAATCTCTCATTCTCAATGGGAGGCTTGTGAGTTATTGCAGCTTCCCTGATTGAGAGCTTCCAAAAATGTGTGGCTTTGAACAAATTTTTCAACAAAGTGCAGAGATTAGAAGATGCACACTCATCATGAGACAACGAGGTGCTCATCTCATGTTCAATGTAGTATCACTTTCTCCCTACAAGGAGGATGGTGCCCTTGTCCAGAAGCTGAGATGGATGGAAGATGAAATTCTGTACTTCAATTGAATCTGCACAGAATTTTTGGGAATCCATGCACATTGATCTGGTCAAACACACAAAGCAGGAAAACTTCAAAGGGAGGAGGGAGGAGTGTGTGAAGGAGTAAAAATTGGTGATTGGCACCAAAAAAAAAGAGAAAATCAAGTCCTTGAGTTTTGATACCACAGGTGTTGAGAATTTGTGAGGAGAAGGCAAGTGCCATCTGAGTTGCCAAATCTTCAAGTTTGGAAACTGCAGTGCCCTTTTAGGAACTTGTGTCTGGCCAATTTTTCACCACAATTTACTAAAGATAGCAACTGGAAAATGCAGAAGGTTCCCCTCAAGGCTTGGATACCAGCCAGTCCTTGCTAGAGCAGCCTGTATCAGTCATTCAAATTTTATGCTCTCCTGTGACCAATACAAGTCATTTGCTTGAAGTTTACACTCTCTATAAGTGACTGGTACTGGTGTTGAGAGTGTACTCTCTCCGATACCGGTACCAGTGTTTGAGAGTGTACTCTCTCCAAAACTGATACCATTGTTGAAGAGAGTTTACTCTCTCCAAGACTGATACTGTTGAGGCCTCAGCTTCAGCTCACACAGTCCCTAAAGAATCTAGACCACCTGTTTACCCAAGATCAAAATATCCATGACATCATTGCGCCTGAACTCTGAAATTCATCATGCTCCTGCAATGAGATTATTGCGCTTTAACCCTCTCATTCATCTCTGACATTGCTATCGTGCATTGTTCCAATTCTTTCTTTCCTTTATCATCCCTTCTCTCCCATTGACTATTCTTCTCCCTCAGGAATTCATCCAATTCTACACATTCCTCCACAGTCAAACTTTCTATTTGACCAATTTCTGGATTGCCATCCTCATTCCAAATCATCACTCATCTTATTCTCTTAAAAGACAAATATCATATCTCTTCTTTCATCATCTTTCATCCTATTTGATCATTGCATCAAACAGCTTCCTCGGCCAACACCGCAACAGCTACGCTACGCTCCAAAAAGCGACATATTAGCGTAGCGTAGTGACAGAGCAGTGTTCATACAGGCAGATAGCAAAAGCGCAAGCGCCCCCACCGCTACAATCAGCGTCAGCGCAGCGCAGCCATCGCTACAACAAATACGGCCTCCGTGCAGCGGAGCGATTTTTTTGCGCTAACACTACATAATAGCGTAGCTTTAGCGCAGTAGCGCTTATGGGCGCTTCTGTGCGCTATATAGCGGGTTCAGTGCACTATTTGCTATTATCTCCCAAAAAGCTGGAAACCTAATGGTTTCTGACTGCCCAAAAGTCATGCTGAGTCCCAGACTTCCGGACCAGATCCCGGGTGGCCATTTAAGCTCAGGTGTATAAGAGTAGATATCCTTGTACAAATCCAAATGCTAGTACGATGACACTGGCAAACTGTGAAGTCACTCCGGATGATACGCAGGGCATCCCAAATCCTGATGGGAGTACTCCAAGGATATCCGCTTTGATCGCTTGTACATCAAAAGCGTAATAGCGTTTGCAAGTCGCTGGATAGTGAATTAAGGCTGCTACAAAGCGGCTATTTAGCAAATCAGTCGCTATTAAAGCGGCAAGCGTAGCGCTGGTCCGCTACTTCCCGCTAAAAGTAGTGCGCTATTAAGATAACATTTCTTTATGCCCAACTTCAAACTAAATAGCGAAGCGGGGGCCGCGCTTTGCCAAGCGTAGCAAAGCGGCACCAAAATCGCTGCGCTTTTTGCTACGCTACCGCTTTGTGTAGCTTAGTTGTTGCGGTGTTGTTCCTCCTACTCTTGTCGCTCGTCCTCTTTGATCTCTGAATCAAATCAATCCCTTCCATTCAACAACTCCGCCAACCAATTCTCCTCTTGAAATGTCCTCAATCATTGTAGGTACTTGTTGCTCTTTTCTCATTGTTGTTCTGATATTAACCTACTCTCCTTTGTTAGCTTTCTCTCTATCTTTGTCTTATTATTGTATCAAGATATATTGCTGTTCTTTTTATTAGCCATCTACTGCTTTTAGGTGACTATCATTTTTCTTTCTTTTCTTCTTTCTACTTTGCATTTCTTAGCAGGCACTTATGAAACACAAACCTTTCAGTCTATTCATTCACAGATAACGGTGTTGAAGAGTGTGTAATCTCTCCAAGACTGGTACCATTCCTTGAGGGTGAAATCTATGGTGACTGTGTGAGTGGCAATGGTATTGCAGCAATCAAAACTTAGGGGTTCTTTTCAATTTTGGATGGGATTTTTCCAAAGAGTGAGCATTTATTTTTCCTGGTGGATGTGGGCTTGGTAGTATCTTCCAACTTATTGGGGGTATGTGTGCTGGTTGATAATGATGTAAAGAAATCACTAGAGGAAAAATCTGGATCTAAAATAGTATCTGTGATTTTGTGCTGCAAGGACATACAAAGAGGTGATTGAGCAGGAATTTAATCACAAACTTCAGAGAAAGAAGGGGACCACGTTTCTTGGAAAAACTCATTACTGATTTGGTTTTTATTTTTATTTTGTTGTGCCAAAGAACTAGGGGATATTTGTAAGACTTTCTTTTGTATTTTTGGTAGTTAAATAATGTTTATTTAACCAATTGAATAGACTAGAAATTATCATCCACATTATTATAAATTTTGATGACATTGACAAGCATGCAATTATTTTCTAGATCAATCATGATGTCATTTGTTCTGAATATGAAATCATAGATTGTTATTCATGATTCTTATTTATACTTGTACCGGTTTTTTACAGATCTGTTTTTTCTCTTGTTTTCTTCAGCAGGATAATCTGTGTGTTTCATTTTTCACCTACTCAAAATTAGAATAGGAAAACCTTATGTTTGGGAATCATATCCCTTCTGGTTAAAGTCTTATGATAGTTGTGTAAGGGCTGGAGCTCTGTCTCTTATAGCCAAGCAGAGGTAAGCTTACCTACCGCTTGAACTTCACAGCATGTGGCACAATAATGTTTATTTAACCAATTGAATAGACTAGAAATTATCATCCACATTATTATAACTTTTGATAACATTGACAAGCATGTATTTATTTTCTAGATCAATCATGATGTCATTTGTTCTGATTGTGAAATCATAGATTGTTATTCATGGTTCTTATTTATACTTGTACCAGTTTTTTTGCAGATCTGCTCTTTCCCTCGTTTTCTTCAGCAGGATAATCTGTGTGTTTCATTTTCCATTTACTCAAAATTTAGAATAGGAAAACCTTATGTTTGGGAATCATATCCCTTCTGG